TTCCTCCGCCCGCCTGCTCCCGTCCTTGCTTGCCGACCCACCGACCGACTCCCGGACTTCAGCGGAGGGGGCCGACGGCCGAGGGCGGCGGTGGGGTTTGGCGGCTCGTTTTAACTTGCGCTCCAACCGCGGCGTCCCAGCCGGCCGGGCTTGCAGGCACTTCCTGCGAGTGTGGCCGGCTGGGACGTTGCGGCTGGAGAGGAGCCCGCTCCCTCGTTTCGCTCTGAGGAGGCAGCCGAGCGGGCGCGTCGGGCGAGCTTTTCTTCCGTTGGGACGCGTTTGGAAGGACCAGAAAGAGCCCTCCCCACCAGCCCCCCCGCCACCTCCTCAGCAATTAATTCATTAATTAATTGGGCGGGCGGTAACCCCCGCCTCGGAAAAATCCACTGCGGGCAGGAGGCGCTCGGTTGGTGGCGGGGCCGGAGTCCTTCTTTCTGGCTGGATACGGCCCTGTCTGGGGCGCAACCGTTCGGTTCGTCGGCTTCTGCCGTTGTTTGGGATTCGTTACGAACCAGGAGCGACCCCCGCCGGGCCAGCGTCGTTGAAGCTCCGGGCCGCCCCGAACTAAGCCGAAAACGAGGGCTTCCCCCTTCGCTTTCCTCCTGGGCGGCGTCAAAGAACAGTCTCCGAAGAATTTGGGCCCCTGGATTGCACAAGAGCAATAGGATGACATCCCTTCTGGACCCCAGGATTAAACAAGCCTTGCGGAAAAAGCCGTCGGAAAGGACGGAAGAGGTAACTTGCTCTTTGAACGCCTCTCTCGGTCTTGCTTCGCTTTAATGACGGCGCTAGTTTTGCTGAGAAATCTTTCCCGAAGGAAGTGCGTGAAAGTTGTGAGTACTTTGTTGTATGTGGCAGAACCCATGCAGCATGTCTCTGTGGTCGTTTCGTGTATGGAGGGAAATCCGTGTCCACATGGGCATTTCTGACATGACATCCACCTGGAAAGGCTGCTTGTGAGGTACAGTAGTTATTTGGCACAGAGTCACCCTTTATTCCTGTTGGTGCACTGGTCCAATTTGGTTTCTAAGTACTGGGGCCATTTCTTTTTTAAACCTTGTGTTCTATATCTCCCCACCCCTTCCACCCCAAACTCTTGTCAGCTCTGGCCTGCTGTGAATTTAGCAGATATAAGGGATAAAAATCTGTATTTTTGAAAAAGTGCTGAGACACAGAAAATATTATGCAGCCTTTCTTCAACACATGATGGATTTGCATCATTAAAAGGCGAATGACATTTATATCAGACTTGAAGAGTAAATGTAGGAAAGGTAGGAAATGTTAGTTTAAAAAAACATATTTAGTATGCCAACATAAATTATTCATTAAGTATATGAATAGAAATCTTCCAGTCTGAGCCTTTCATCCTGTGTCAGTTTATTGAAGTAAATACTGTACTAACAAACTTAGTAGACTTTCTTTTGAGTAGACACACACATAGGAGCTCACTAATTCTATTAAAGTTCTTGTTTTGGGTTAAGGTTCTTAAGCAACAAACAGCAGTACTTTGGATTTGTTGCAAATTATGTAAGGCTAAGAACAGATTTTGTACTCTGTTCTTAGCTGGCTGAAAGTTGTGAATGGAGTCTTTGAATCATATTTGTTTTTCTGTACTGTGATTACATGTGGTGGGGGAGAGAGCAGGATGGGCTGATAACCATGTTACAGCTGACTCTGTGTGAGACAGGGAAGCATCTGTTCTCTGTTGATATTTGAGTCTCTAAGAATCCTCAGACAGGATCCTTTTAGAAAATCTGTTGAAATAGGACATAAAAATGGTTTTACTGTATGTGTTTCTCAGACTTCTCGCCCTCTTGAATGCATTAATATTGTGATTTTTGAGGCTTGGCACTGTGTTGCTTCATTTTATGTTTTCTATTGTTTCAACTGTTTTTGTTTTTGGAGGCAGTGCTTTGATGAAAAATTAATCTTATACTCAGCTATCCTTGAATGTGTGTCTTTGTAAAAATTTTGTGGCCAGCTTTGCAATCCTTTTGTAGTTCCAATTACTGATTATATTTAGGTCCTGTGGTTATTGAGCTTATTGGTAGGAAACTTATTTTTCAGATTTAAATTTTATAAGCACCATTGCTCTCATGTGGCATAATTTAATTTTATGTGCAGTATTCTGTACTCAGATGTGTCCATGTCTACAGTACATATGTACAGTTTTTTGGGTTTTCTGACAGTTGTTACTCTCCTGAGTTCTTGAGATGAGATAGAAGATATATAAGCCTTTGGAATTTCAGGAAGAAATGGGACCTTCCTACCCAAGTACTTCTGATGCTAGTGATATGTTTTTCCTCTTTGGTAGTTTGAGCATACAGAGATTGCAATCAAATTTCATTTTAAAAAGACACATGGCAGCTTAAAACTGTAACAGAAAAGTCAGCACCAGTTCTTATGTCCCCTCTCCTGTTTGATTTCATGAGTGAATGACTAAGAAAGGGATTTATGGCTTTAAGTCATTGGAAAGTCATTTGTATTGAAAAGCTTTTGCATTCTTCTGTAAAAAAAATAAGCATGAAAAAACATGGAGACCAGATATCTCTCAGTCTTGGGACCCTTAACTCATGTCAAGATGTCATGCTTGACCTGATCTGTTTTCCTAATTGGTTAATCGATTAGTGTGAATGTTTGGGAGGATTTTGGCTTACAACAATTGGGAACTCCATATCAAACAGTAATGGGAAGGTGTGACAGCAAATGCTTGATCTTTCTGATGATTTCCAGCTTCATGAATTATGGCTTATACTTTTTTAAAAGAAAAAAAGTCTGGAAAGTAAATATCCTTAAGCTTAATAGTGGCTTTTTAGCTTAGCTTTTGTAGTCTTCAGCATAAGAAGATGACCACTATTAATAGATTGCAATTAAATGCATAGGTTTTGGGGACTGAAGATAAGTCAAACAGTTCAGTACTGTATTTACAAAGGCTTCAGTACTTCTGATGATCAAAACTAGGTATGACATTTCTGTGACTAAAATTCTGATTACTTTTAAAAATGAAGTACCAGACACAAGCCAAAATAGTGAAGGGGGCATAAACCAGTTTGCAGGTATAATGTGGTGGAAATGTTCTTGTTTTGAAGTCTGTCCCCTTGTGTCAATTTTTCTGCTGATAATTGGTTCTTTGAAGCAGTTACTAGAAAACACCCTCTAATGTTTTTGGAGGGTGGAAATGCTAGTGGGGGAACAATTATTTCCCCCCCCCCCACCACAAAATGTTCTCTGTCTCAGTCTTCCTTAAAGTACATCATGTCATGATTGGCTTGATTCTTGAAAAAAATGATGTACACGATAAGGTTGATTATTCTGTGCCAATAGTCATTTACTTTATCTTCCCCCGGTGTACTTTATATTCTGCCCTAAAATGCACTTTTGAAAATTACCGTGGACCAAATTTCTTTCTGTGGTTAGTATTGATGCCTGAAGGTGCCTTTGGCAGCTTGAACAAATGACACTTGCCATAGTGAGTATGATACTGGCTTTTGAGTATGATTGTGGTTAGTTTGCCTTCCAACTGTGTGTGGATCATCTCAGAAGCTTCTCCAGCATTTACAGTATTTCATTTCATTTCAATTTTATTTTTATTCTGCCTTTTTGCCCTAGTGGCATACAAAAAATTTAAATCAACAATAACATCACAATTCTCTCACTGCTTCCGTATTTCAGAGAAAAATTGGCAGGGAGGAGCTTGGCAGGTGTGTGTTCAAGGCCTCCAGAGTGTCTTGGTCATACATAGCCAAACCAGCAAATCCTATACTTCTCTTGTTTCAACAGATTTTTAGTGTGGTGTTGTGAATGCTGCACGTAACACTGACTCTAGGCATATATACTCTTGTTTTTATAAAGAGAAGAAAGATGTGTGTGGGGGTTACGCTTTTCCAGATGTTGCTTGGCAGAAGGGGTAGGATTAAAGTGTGCTTTATTCCCACCCCCTGTTTTTCCTACTGGAAAGAGGGATGGTGAAGGAATGAATAGCTTTTTCAGGCATTGCTTAGCAGAAGGTTTTTGAGCCCCTTTTATGGAGCATGAGTGCCTCCCTTTCCACCTGTCCCTCCTTCATATAAAGATTGCAAGGGCTTTTGCTTCCATCAAGAAGTTATTGGCTTGACTAGATGACTAGCTGGAAAGTCTACCCATGTCCATACTTTTTGGTGAGGACTTCTGATTTTAGCATCATTGCCTTCAGAAAATGAAAGTTTTGCATCAGTTTGAATCACTTGTCCAGCATTTTTAAATTTTAGTTTCTTAATTGCATTTTCTAATATCCAGTAATCTATTTAAAATAATAATGGCTTATAATTGGTTGACAAATTCTTGCTTCTTTGGACACATTGCACCCAGTTTGGATATAACAGAAAAGTACTGTATGCTTCCCCACTTGAGCAAAAGGGGGAGCAAAGTGAGACTGGCTGTTCTGCATCCACACAGTAATATATTAACCCAGTTTGAGAGGTTACTGTGATATTTGAGTACAATATAACCATTCGTTTTAATTTTCAGGAGCAATGGGTATATTGCTTAATATGTATAGTTTTAATTTCATTCACAATCTGGTCAGTTTAAATATTTTTAAAATGTGATGTAAATTTTACAAGTAATACCTACTTTTTTTCAAATCAATTTTTAATTTTAATCTCCAACGCTTTAAAAAGTATTATTTTCAGACTTCGAGGTAAAAAGTTTTTTTAAAATATATATATATTATTTTTAGATCCTTTTCAAGTTTTCTTCCATATTTTGACATAGTTTGACTTTGTGGTAGGAAACTTTCCCCCATTGTCATGAGTTTCTCTTTTCTTTGAAGGTAAAGGTAAAGGTTCCCCTTGACATTTAGTCCAGTCATGTCCGACTCTAGGGCGTGGTGCTCATCCCCGTTTCCGAGCCATAGAGCCAGCATTTGTCTGAAGACAGTTTCCGTGGTCACGTTGCTAGCGCGACTAGACACAGAATACCATTACCTTCCCACTGTGGTGGTACCTATTTATCTACTCGCATTTGCATGCTTTCAAACTGCTAGGTTGGCAGGAGCTGGGACAAGTGATGAGAGCTCACTCCGTAGCGTGGATTTGATTTTACAACTGCTGGTCTTCTGACCTTGTAGCACAGAGGCTTCTGCGGTTTAACCCGCAGCATCACCATGTCCCTTTTCTTTGTAGAGGGAGTCCAAATATCTTCTTTTGCTGCTGCAACTGCTTCTAATAGCAACCTTCTTCCTTTCTGCAGCCTCAAAATCTGTTCCAGAAAGTTGGGAGACACTACTCCCCAAGCAGATTTGGGAAGTGGAGAAGAAGGGAAGAAAGTTGTTTTTATACAAGTGAAAACACAATTGCATGGTATTGGATATTCCACTTAGCATAGAGTAGAGAAGATGTGCTTCTTCTAAAGAGTTGGTGGAAATGGGTCAGGTCAGAATTCCTAGTTAACTGAATATATTTTGAATTTGTGTGTGTGTGTGTGTGTGTGTGTGTGTGTGTGTGTATTGTAT